CGGCTTTCTTGGGTCCGCGCTGGGCCCCCCCCCCTGGCGGCGCCGCCCCTGGCGCGCTCCGCGCGCCAGGGAGGGGGGTCCACCGCGGATCCAAGCAATCCGCGCGGAGCGCCAAAAGTTTACGTTTCTGGAGTTGTTTCTTCTTCGGATCTGGGAGGCCTCCGTAGAGCTGTCTTGCTTTAGGTTGGGCATCTCCCCTCACGGGCGGATGTTGGACGAATCATGGAAAATATATAGTTTGGGTTTCTGTTTATGTTTATGGCGTTTTTTCTTCTTCGAGTCACAGCTCGCGCGCGCGGCTGGGCCGAGGCCGTGGCAGCAGGAGGGGGTTCCAGCGCGGATCCAAGACATGGGCGCGGAGCGCCAAAAGTTTTTGTTTATGTTTCTCTTGTTTTCCATATATTCGTATTACGACTAGTATTATTGTTGTTCGCATTATTATTATTAGTAGTCGTATTATCATTCTTATTGGTAGTGTGATTATACTCGCCTTAGTATTCGTATTATGATTCGTGCTTTTCGTAGTAATATTATATTATTATGTCTATTGTTATTAGTATCCTTTTTTCTTCCTTCCCCGACCTTGCGAAGGGGTTCCCGTTTAGTGCTCCGCTGGGGGGGTCTGGGGGGGGACCCCCCGGAATATGGCCCCGGCCACGCGACGATCGCCGGCAGAAGTCCGGCGGAAGACGGCGGAAGACGGCCCCATTCCGGCGGACGCGCTTTCGGGCGGCACGGGCGGCTCCAAGATGATCCGCAAGATCGTCCAAGAGGGCCACGTGCCGCCGACTGAGCGGTCTAGACGGCCCAGGGAGCCTTGAAGACGGCCTGGGAGGCTCCCCGGGAGAGCCCCAAGAGTCAAAATTAATTTGTTTCCCTTAGTTTTCGAAGGTTTTTCGCGTTCTCGCCTGTTCGGCTTCACGACACTCGAAGACGACCCACGGCACTCCAAAGATCACCCCAAGACCCCCAAGACAGCCCCAGCGGCCTCCAAGACTGCCTCAGAAGGCCCCAGGAACGCTCCAAGAGAGCCCCCAGAGAGGAAGCAGGGACCGACATTTCGGGCTCCCCGCCCGAAGAGAACCCCAGGAGGCCCCAAGAGGCCCCCAGGAGGCCTCCAAGAGGTCCCGAAAGGTGCGAGCATTCGTGGTTGCCTGGTAGGCTCCAAGGTATTCGGATTCGCAGCCTTGGACACAGTCGATTTGAGCGCGACCTCTACATCCTCAACGGCTACGCGCCCACCAATGACCCTGGTCGGCCCCCGAACGGCGTGGATGCTGGCGCCTACCGCGAAGCACATTTTTCCCAGCAGGAGACCTTCTGGCGCGCATGCCGCCACGCAATTAGTCAGGTCCCTGCCCGCACCTCGCTGGTGGTCACGCTGGACGCCAACGCTCATCTACCTCCCCACCTTCCACTGGTGGGCCACGCTGGCGTTCGTGGGCATGGTCCTCTCATCAACAACAACGGGCGCGCGTTGATGGACATTCTGGAGGATTTCGGGCTGGCGGCACTCAATACGTTCGGGAAAAAAGGCCGCCGCAACGGCACATGGAGGAGCCCCGCTGGAGCATGGACCACCATCGACTATGTTCTTGTCCGACGCCAGGGTGGATACGGACACGACTCCCGCCCGCGCTTCGACCTTCCAGTCAACCTCGGAGGTTATCGGGACCACCGCCCACTGCAGACGAAATTGTTCATCGGGGCCCGCTTGAAGTCCTCTGCACCATCTGCGCGACCCCGCTGGCGCCGTGAACTACTCATCCAAGACCTGCGCGCAGTCCAATTGGCAGAGGAGGACTTCGAGCACAGCCATCCCATCCCTGATCGCGTGCATCTTTTCCGCACGAAGGTCCAGGAGGGCATCGAGGCGATGAGCTTGCATGAGGATTGGACTGACGTCTGCGGCAGTGGCAAGCGCTTTGCCGACCCCTCCGAGTACTTCAACGCGATGGAGGGCGTCATCATTGAGGCTGCCTCCCAGGACTACATCGAATTGCCACAGCCGCGGGGTGCTTCTACGGGGCCAGTCTTCTCGGAGGCCACTATGCGACTTATCAAGATGAAGCATCATTGGCAGTATCAACTGGCCGCTCTCTCTTCGGGCTTGAGATGGCTTACCCTTTTCTTCCACCAGAAGTTCTTAGAGGCGTCCAAGATTTGCACCAAGGCCATCAGGAGTGAAAAGCGGCAGCGCATGGCACATCTTGCAGCTTTTGCCGAACGCTCTGCTGGCGAGAATAACCTACGGCGCCTGTTCTCTATCGTGCGCCGTCTCGCACCCAAGCCACCTGCGCCCATCATGACTGTCAACGACCCGCAGAGAGGCCTCCCATGCTTCGACTCAGAACGTGACAACCAAGTCCGAGTGGCGAGTATCTGTTCACCGTGCAATGGCACGGCGATGGCACTCCATGAACTACCAGTCCGAGCCCGTGACATGGGCCGTGATGATGATCGCATCGGGCCGTATGACTTGGCCGACATCAAGCAGGGCATTCGCAACCTTCCGAACTTCAAGGGAGGCCCTACCCTACAGTGGTTTCCAGAGGCTCCTCCTACTGGTGCGGTTGCAGAGACTTGGAAGCTTGCCTTAGAGAGCGTCAGCCCGCCCCTACTCCAGATCTTCCAATGCAGCCAAGCGTTGGGCTCCGCACCCCAGCGGTTCAAGGATGGCGAGACTGCACACCTGCGTAAGCCGAAAGGCGATGGCAAGTCTGCTATGAACGACTACCGCACCATCAGCCTCATCTACCACATAGGCAAGGTCTTCGCGCGGGTCACCGCCCTCGACGCCATGCGCGATATCTCCCACAGGATCTCCCCGACCCAGTTCGGCGCCATGCCTGGCCGTGGCACTCGGGACGCAATTTCGGTTGCGATGGAGGTCATCACCCGTCATCAGCATGCCCATCGAGTTCGAGTACGCGGACGAGCCACGGATCCCCCTCCTATGCTGCGGGTCATCCTTACTGATTTGGAGAAGGCCTTCGACATCATTGCACGGCAGCCCATCTGGGATAGCCTGGAGTCCCTCCAGCTACGGCCTGATGCACGTGAGACGCTAGAGGAGCTCCATGACGGCATGTGCTACCTATATCGTGACGTGCGCACTCGTCTACCTTGCTCTCGCATTCATGTCCAGCGCGGCGTCCGCCAGGGAGGTGTGGAAAGCCCTGGTCTCTCTGTTGCTGCGTATGATAAGCTAGTTGCCGAGGTGGCAGAACGTCAGCGCGAGAATGAGTTTCCTGGGATTTTCGTCTACTTTGACCCCAGCCTCGAGAAGATTCGCACCTCGGATCCGCTGATGAATGACTACTGCGAGTGCCTGGACGTTACCCACCTCAAGTTCCTAGACGACCTGCTGACGTTTGGAGAGGTAAACCACTTTGACGAGGCGTCCCAGTTGCTCGACCTAGTGAACGGCGAGATTTCCTTCGGTGGCATGAAGGTCAATGCGAACAAGACCGAGCTACTCCTCATCCCCAGCGGCACGGGAAGCAAGAGACGCCAGAAGTCCATCAACTCACACTCCACGGGCATCGTGACCTGGCAGGAGGACGAGGCCCTCGCCGTGCACCCGCAGCCGACGGTCAAGTACCTAGGCGTTCGCATGGCCGCATCAGGCAGCTACCAGACTGAGATTACCCACCGGCTCCAGAGCGCCAACCAAGCCCATTCTCGACTCCTCCGACGTGCTTTCAAGGGGGGGTTCAGTCCGAAGATGAAGATACGTTTGTGGAAGGCGTTGGTTCGTTCAGTTGGCCTGTATGCGTTGGAAGTTGCGGTGATGTCCAAGCGCGAGCTCCTCCGCTTGGAATCCTGGCAAGTTCGGAAGCTCCGAGGGCTTCTCCACTCCCCTGCCCACATCAACAAGCTCACCAACCGCGAGATCAGGAGGAGGGCCCGTGTCCCGACAGTGGAGAGCACACTTCAGCATCGACGACTCAAATGGTGGCGACGAGTCCTATGGCCAGTCTTCCGTGGGCCCACACCCGACCTCTACGACGCCACGCTGGCGGTCCGCGCTGTCATCTTCGGCCTCTTTTCTTTTGAGCCTCCTGGCCCGCGTGAGCCCCGCGGCCTCCTTGCCGTGCTGAAGAGCGACTTGCGCCAGCTCTGGAACACGGTGGAGGCGCACGAGCAGCTGGAGGCCCGCCGCCTCTTCCTTCTTCACGGTGGCCTACCTGACCTTGCTGAGCCGTGGCTTCGCTGGCTCGCCTCCTGCGAGCAGCGCTGCTTTCGTCGCGTTCTCACCTTTGGCGAGGTCGCAGTTGGCGAACCTGTTGCAGTTGTTTGGATCCAGTGCGACGTGTGCGGGCAAAATTGCAACGGAGAGAAGGGCCTCGCCAATCACAAACATGCTGCACACAACACCTATGCGAATCCCACGGCCAACTTTCTCTCGGATGTCGATCTACAACAGAAGCGTTGCTCACACTGTGCGAAACAATTCACACGAAAGGACACGTTGATTCGCCATATCAAACTTGGCCGTTGCCCCGTCCTCGCTGGCGTTCAGGCTCAAGCAGATTCACAACTTGAGCTTGCAGCTTCTCCACCTGCCCCTGCCAGTCATGTTCCAGCCGATCGCGGAGGTGCAGGTGGCAGCCAGCCAGAAGCGCGCGGCGGCCCCGAACCCAGAGGACAAGGGCGAGGGCAACGACATCGTGGGCCCGCTGGCCAAGGCGCTCGCCAGGCTCGCCCTCCAGCACGAGGACCTCGCTCGAGCAGGTCACCGAGACGACAACTTCGTGATGGTTCTCAAGCCGCAGTGCGCTTTGGCGAACGCGCTGGAGCAGGCCATCACGACGTGCGAGGACGAGGGTCGCAAGGCCAAGGAGAAGGCGAGCGAGCAGGGCAACCAGTTCATGGCAACCCGCTGGGCAAGCGGCCCGACGCGCTGGCCCGCGCCGTGATCTTCCGCATCATGGAAGCGGTGCTCCTCAAGAGGCAGCAGGTGACGGAGGCCGTGTCGCAGGGGGCCGAACCCGAGGCAGCGCAGGCAGCGCTGGAGGTATTGCTGCAGATGGGCAAGCTGGCACAGAACACCGAGACGAAGTTCGTGGCCACTCGCTGCTTTCGGATCCAGACCAGCCGCAACGAGGGCGACAACAACGAGGAGGGCGAGACCAGGTGGATCTTCGCGGTGAATCACTACCCAGGGTTCAAGGCAGCGCTCAACACGCTGCGGACCAACGGTGCCTTGGCCGCCGCGGGTATCACCCTCCAGTACGACATCGCGACCAGGTCCAAGGCAGCCAAGCTGGTAGAGACTCTGGCGTTCCGCTCGGGCAGCGGCCCTGCCAGCGGCGGCAAGAAGAAGCAGAAACGCAAGTGAGAGCAGCAGCAGCCAGGCCAGTCGAGGCTCGGGAACCCTGCCTTGCTCTCTCTCCTCGTCCTCCTCCGACGACGGCGACGTCTCGTCCCCTCTCTCGCCCCTCGGCAGGACAGAGGACTCTCACGAGCTTTTTCAGGTTGCAGCCCAGGGATCCCGCTCAGTAAACTTCCTTCGGGCCTGGATTCCTGTGGCCAGTTTTTGGGGCCTCGCTTTTGTGGGGGCGCGCCTCTCTCCACCAGAGGGAGGGGGGAGCCGCCTTCACTGTGCCTCCCCTGCAGAGGCAGGGGAGCGTGAGGCGCGGGGCAACGGCCCAGCGGCCGCCGCCCACGCGTTTCCGTCGGTTTTGTGTCTCAGGGCTCCTCCGATCTTATCGGTAGCGCCGCGTTTCTTGCGGTAGGTTTCTTTTAGAATGCCCTCGCAAAACTTCCTTGGGAATGGGAGTAGCGTTTGAAAAAAGGAAGACGGCCCCATTCCGGCGGACGCGCTTTCGGGCGGCACGGGCGGCTCCAAGATGATCCGCAAGATCGTCCAAGAGGGCCACGTGCCGCCGACTGAGCGGTCTAGACGGCCCAGGGAGCCCTGAAGACGGCCTGGGAGGCTCCCCGGGAGAGCCCCAAGAGTCAAAATTAATTTGTTTCCCTTAGTTTTCGAAGGTTTTTCGCGTTCTCGCCTGTTCGGCTTCACGACACTCGAAGACGACCCACGGCACTCCAAAGATCACCCCAAGACCCCCAAGACAGCCCCAGCGGCCTCCAAGACTGCCTCAGAAGGCCCCAGGAACGCTCCAAGAGAGCCCCCTCCCCACCCGACCTCCCCAAGAGAGGAAGCATGGGACCGCATTTCCACCACCCAACCCGAAGCGAACCCCCAGGAGGGCCCCAAGAGGCCCCCAGATGTGCCTCCAACGGTTTCCCGAACGACTTTCGAAAGGGTAGATGGCCTCCCAGGAAACCTCCAGAAGCTTCAAGACGGCCCCAAGACCCCCCGAGAGAGCCCCACGATGGCTGGTGACGCCCCGACAAAGCGTCACAGCCCCAAGCGGACAACACGGGAATCAACGTCACGCGCTCTATATATGGGCATCCTCTTCTTTGCTGTTCTCTTGCTCGAAAGTCACGCCCATTTGTCCTCCAAGATTTTTCCCAAGGGACCCCCAAGAGTCCACACTCATAGATTCCTTCCAGTTCCCTCAGTTCTTCTCTGTCTTCGGCTTTCCGGCTTCATTACGCTCCAAGGCGGCCCGAGAGACCCCACATAATCTCCCAGGAGGGCGCCCAGACGGTCGAAGACGCCCCCAAGACAGCTTGAGACGCCCCCAAGACGGCCTCAGATGGCCCCAGGAACGCTTCAGGAACGGCGGGGGGCAGGGACCGACATTTCGGGCTCTCCGCCCAAAGAATCCCCAGGAGGTCCCAAGAGGCCCCAAGAGGCCCCAAGAAGCCTCCAAGAAGTTGTTCAGGAAGCCCCAAGAGGGCCCCAAGACTGGCCTAAGAGGGCCCCGAGATGGTCGGAGACGCCCCAGGGCCCGAAGACTGCCCAGCACGGCTCCAAGATGGTCGGAAACGCCTCGACACAGCACGGTCCCGCTTATGATTAAGAAACCTCCCCCCGAAAAGCTGGCCCAGCGTTTCTTAACCAACTTGCCGGAAAACGGGCTCCGTTTTGTTAAGGGGATTGGTAGCCTTGGACCCTAGAAATGAATAGTGCACGTTCCTGGCTCCAACAGCTGGCCCAACGTTTCCTTAAGAAACTTCTGAAAAGTTGGCCCAGCTTTCTTAATTGATAAGTTGTTTAATCATTTATTGACTGTAGTACGGCATCAAACAGGCAGCACGGGAACCAACAGAATGCGCCTGAATGCGGCGCAGCGTCAAACGGACAACACGGGAATCAGCATTATGCGCCCTATAGGCGTCCTCTTCTTTGTTTTTCCCTTCCTCGCAAGCCACGCCCACATGTCCTCCAAGGTCGGGGTTCGTGGCAATATCAGGCTTTTCTTCTTCTTCGTATTATTATTATTAGTATTATTATTATTCTTACTAGTACTATTACTATTACTATTACTATTACTATTATGATTACTATTATTATTAGTAGTAGTAGTAGTAGTAGTAGTAGTAGTAGTCGTAGTAGTAGTAGTAGTAGTAGTAGTAGTAGTAGTAGTAGTAGTAGTAGTAGTAGGAGTAGTAGTAGAAGTAATAGTAGTAGTAGTCGTCGTCGTAGTAGTAGTCGTAGTTAGTAGTAGTAGTAGTAGTAGTAGTAGTAGTAGTAGTAGTAGTAGTCGTAGTAGTAGTAGTAGTAGTAGTAGTAGTAGTAGTAGTAGTAGTAGTAGTAGTAGTAGTAGTAGTAGTAGTAGTAGTTTTATTTTTATTATTATTATTATTATGTTTAGTATCCTTCGCGCTCGCGCGCGCGGCTTCTTCCTTCTTCTTATTCTCATTATTATTATTCGTCTTCTTCTTCTTCGTCTTCTTCTTCGTCTTCTTCTCCTTCGAGTCACAGCTCGCGCGCGCGCGGCCGGGCCGAGGCCGTGGCAGCAGGAGGGCGGGTGTTGCAGCGCCAGGACCCCCGGGCCACTTCTTTTTCGCCACGCGGCCCCGCCTCGCGTGCGCCCAGCCTTCTCGCTCACGAGGGGCCGCGGAGCTCCCGACCTCCTCCTCCCCCTCCTCCTCCTCCTCCTCCTCGCTCCTCCTCCGCTCCTCCTCCTCCCGCTCCTCCTCCTCGCTCCTCCTCCTCCTCCTCTCCTCCTCCTCCTCCCTCTCCTCCTCCCCCTCCTCATTCTCCGCTCCTCTCATCCTCGCTCCTCTCCTCGCTCCTCCTCGCTCCTCCTCGTTCCTCCTCGTTCCTACTCGCTCCTCCTCGCATCCCTTCCTTCTCTCGCCTTCTCCTCGCTCCTCCTCCTCCCTCCTCGTCTACTTCCCCTCGCTCCTCCTCCTCCTTCCCTCCTCCCCTCCTCTCCTCTCGCTCCTCTCCTCCTCCTCCTCCTCCTCCTCCTCCTCCTCCTCCTCCTCGCTCCTCCTCGCTCCTCCTCGTTCCTCCTCGCTCCTCCTCGTTCCTCAGGCGCGGGCGGTCTTGGCCAGAACAGCCGGCGGAGTGTCCCGCGCAGAGCGCCGGAGGGCGCGGTGATTCCACATGGACTGTCCCACGTGGACCCTGCGCCCCCAAACCCTCGCGCTGCACCCGGCGACCCCGCCAGACGCGGGCGGGTTTTGGCCAGAAGGGCCAGCGGAGTGTCCCGCGCGGGATGCGGGAGGGCGAGGCGCTTCTCGCCCGCGCGGCCCAGAGACCGCCCAGGGCGAGCGCGGGGGGGCTCCGAGCGGCGCCCCGCACGCAGCAGCGAGACCACCGGGTCCAGCGCCTCCCTGGCGGGTCCCGAGGACGCTCTGCGAAGAACAAACAAACAACGTCATAGACATCATTGAACTTTTGGCGCTCCGCGCGGATTTCTTGGACATAAACTTTTGGCGCTCCGCGCGGATATCCTGGATCCGCGCTGCCCCCCCCCCCCGCGCGCCAGGGAAGGGGGGGGTCCAGCGCGGATCCAGGGAATCCGCCCGGAGCGACGCAAGTTTCTGTTGATGGCGTTGTGTTGGTTTTCTTTCCTTTTTTCTCTAGTCCTGCAAGACGGGCGGGATGCTACAGGGCATCGGGAAGAATCCCGAGGAGCTCTTCGCGAGGTCTTTGGATCCCCTGCGGACCCCGCGCGCGGCGGCGCGGTGGCGCCGCCCGCGCGCGAGGCCCGCGCTCGCCGCGCCCGGCGCCCGGTGCCGCAGCTGGGGCGCGAGGCCCCGGTCGCGGAGCGGAGCCCCCGGGGAGCAGCCCCGCGTGCTGCGTCGGAGACGGAGCAGAAGCGACTCAGGAGGGGAACAAAAGCACACCGGCACAATGCATCGTCGACTCCCCCGAAGATGATGGGAGAGTATGGGAAGCGGGGGGGGGGGGGCACAAAAGCCCAGGAAACGTGGAAAAATGTGGGGCATCCTGGTTCTTCGTGTCTATTCATTTGTGTGTGTCCCAGTTCCCCTTCGATGCCTACGGTAGCGACGCTCCCGTCGGCGCGCGATGCCCCGTCGCGCCGCGAGGCGCCACCCCCGTCGCGGGGCGCGAGGCCCTCGTCGACCGGCCGCGGAGCGAGGCCTCGGCCGGCGGGCGCGAGGCGCGAGCCGTCCCGCCCTCGATCGGGGCCGCGTGGGCGCGGCGATGTCGTCTCGGCTGCAGACGAGGCCCGTGCTGGGACTCCTCCTCCTCCTCCTCCTCCTCGCTCCTCCTCCTCCTCGCTCATCCTCCTCCTCTCCTCCTCCTCCTCCTCCTCCTCCTCCTCCTCCTCCTGTCGGGAGCGGAGAAGAGGGGGGTGATGACTAGGGGGGGTGGATATCATGGTGGGGGCCATGATATTTCCCCAGATTTCATGGCGCCCCTTCTTATTTCATTACGTCCCTGGCCCCCCCGCTGGGCCGCGCACATGCAGCCGGTCATGATTTGCACCCCCCCCTCTTGGACACCCCCCTTTTGGCCGCTCCCGAGATTGCGCACACCTGAGCACCCCCCCCCCACCCCCCGCAATCCCGCGCGTTCCCTTGTGAATCCCATCCTTTTCCTTGCCCCGCGTATCCCTGCGTTTCCCCGTCATTCTTCCTCGCCGTGACCTTACCATCATCATAAGCATGCGTCATCACCATCCGCATCAGCATCAGCATCGCCACCATCATCATCAACAACATCATCATCACCAGCATCATCAACATCGTTATCAGCATCAGAATCATCGTCGTCGTCAGCGCCATCATCGCTATCGCCATCGTCATCGTCAGCATTATCACCACCAGCAGCAGCAACATCACCATCCACATCATCGTCAGGCTCCTGTCCATCCTCACCGTCACCCTTACCCATCCCCATCAATTTGTCTCGTTAGCATTACCTTCTTTGTCATGACCAGTCTCATGCTGCTGATGCTGTCCCTGGGCCACTCCTCCGATCCCAAGGC